CGGCATCCCAAGGTACTTATCGTGACGCTCTTCCACCTTAAACCCTAAAATGTGATGCATTCTGATTTTAATATTCATCGGCGTAGATGGGCTGAAGACCATCGTTGATTTATCAAGGTTAATTTCTTGGCCCGAAATCCTTGCATAAGTATCAAGAATCTCCTTCAGAGCTCTAGCATCCGTTTCCGCCGCACTACAGAAGAACAAGGTGTCATCTGCGAAGCATAGGTTCGTGATCACTGGAGCTGTGGGAGCGATCTTCACTCCGTGAATTCGGTCCTCATGCACAGCTCGTTCAGTCATGGCAATCAGAGCCTCAGAGCAACAAATGAAAAGGTAAGGAGAGAGGGGATCTCCCTGCCGGAGACCGCGCGACGGCCGCACCGAGCCGAACTGAGCTCCATTAAAAAGAAAAGCATAAGAGACAGACGTGATACATAGCATAATCAAATCTATAAATGAAGAGGGCAATCCAAAGCGAGAAAGAATTTTCTGGATAAAGGGCCATTCAATTCGATCGTAGGCTTTACTAATATCTAATTTAATAGCCATATAATTACGACGGCTATTCGAGTGTGTTCTAATAAAATGGTTAGTCTCATAAGAAACAAGGATGTTGTCCGTGATAAGACGCTTAGGTACGAATGCAGATTGAGTAGGAGAGATTAAGTCATTCAGGACCAATTTCAGGCGATTAGCTATCACTTTAGAACCTATTTTGTAAATAACATTGCACAAGCTTATAGGTCTATAATCAGTGACTTTTTCGGGTTTCTTGACTTTAGGGATTAATACAATGAAAGTGAAGTTTAGACGGGGGGAAGGATCTTATCATTCAGAAATTTAAGAACACACGCAGTGACATCGGACCCTAGGATATGCCAGTATTTTGTGTAAAAAAGAACAGGGAGGCCATCAGGGCCGGGGGATTTGAGAGGGGCCATTTGAGAAATGGCCCGATGTACCTCATCGGCGGTGTATGGGCGAGATAGGAGCTGACTGGCGGTCGCCGAAATTCGTGGCTCGATACACTGCATCGTCTCATCTATCTCTTCCTCGGAAGGGTGCGTACTTCGGAAAATATGCTGAAAGTAATCCGAAATTATCCGCTCGATATCCTCCGGTTTGTCTTTCCAATTCCCCGAACTATCCCTAATGCGGTCCACCCGATTCGCCTTCTGTCTCAAGGTCGCCTTAGCGTGAAAAAAACTGGTGTTACGATCTCCCTCTTTCATCCACTGAATACGGCTTCTTTGATGCCAGTAGGTGTCATTATCCACATAGAGTTTCTCCAGCTCAGCTCGAAGTGTCGTAATCTCCTGCCTATTCCCTTCCGTTTGAATACCAGTGTGGAGTAAATGAAGCTTCTCACGGACCTCTTTGATTCTTCGTTGAGGGAGTGTGTTGCTGGTTCTGTTCCACTCAATTAAAGCGACTTTGCAGCCCTCATTCGCCTCTAAAACTGTCATCACAGGATCTGATTTTTTATTATCCAACCACTGCTGATTAATGATAAGCTCACATTCCTCATTTCGGGCCCAAATGGCTTCGAAGCGAAAAGGTTTTCGTCGTCGGCGGGATAATGGTGCAGGTAGTTCACAAATGCGGAGCTCAAGGGGCTGGTGGTCCGAACCTGGGTATTCAAGGTGCGTAACTTGCGCCTGAGGGAATAGAGCAATCCAAGAATTCGTGGCGCACACCCTATCTAAACGACTACGAACGGTGAAGGGGTGTCTTCGATTGTTGGACCAGGTAAACGGGTCGCCATTAAAGCCCAGATCCATCAATTCGCACGTATCCAAGGCCACCCTAAAAGCTTCAATATATTTAGGAAGCTTCGGATTTCCCCCTTCCTTTTCGGAGGAACTAAGAATTTCATTAAAATCTCCACCGATAAGCCATGGAAGATCGCTAAGCTGACGAATCCTACAAAGCAATTCCCAAGACCGTTGTCGCTGATCTTGTTTTGGAAAACCGTAGAAACCAGTGAAGCGCCATCAGTTTTGACCATCTTCTGGCACAATTTCAACGTCAATGTGATTGTTGGAGAATCCGTATAAATGGACCTGAATGTCCTTCTTCCAAAAAAGAGCAAGGCCACCAGCTTTTCCAACCTTCCCAACTGCCAAGCCAAACAAATTCCATCTACTTTTTAGACGTTCAATCGCAGATGGTGTTGATCTCGTTTCCGAGAGAAACACCAAATCGGGGCTATGTTTTCGGATGATGTCTCCGAGGGTGTGAATTGTCAAGGGAGCCCCGAGCCCTTGACAATTCCAAAATAAGTAACTCATTGATGTCGGCGGGACTGCTCCGCAGTCTCCGCCGTTGAATTAGAGACTTCATCGACCATGTGTAGGTTCTGTCTCTTCTCAGTTCGGTTATTCTCGTGATCCGATGTAGCTGATCGCTTGTTCTTTCTCTTTTGATTTGGAACCGTTACAATTTTCCTAGGGAAAGAGGTTAATGCTTCCACCGGACATAATTGGATAGTATTATTGGTGAGTTGCATATCTTCAATAGCAATAGTCGATCTATTTTCCTTCCCTTGGTTTGGAGTCGGTGCGGAGTCCCTCGAGACTGACTGGTTGGAACAGTTGAAGATGTTCGTGCCACACCCCTTATTTTTTCCTTGGAGAATCGATGAGTACTGCATATTAGGGTTGACGGGTTGAAGGGGTAATTTCGGGGTGGTATCCTCCCAGTTGAAAGACGCTCTCAACCAATTGCCATAAGGAAAATTCTCGCCCGGATCCTCAAACCCTTCCTCGTATCTTTTTGGGCAACGGTTCTCTCCATGACCCAGTAAGCCGCACAAAAAACATATGTTGGGCAGACGTTCATAGCTGAATGCGACCCAGGTCTTATCACCATTAACCATATGGAGAAACATTCCTCTCTTAATGCTGTGAGTCACGTCCATCGCCACCTTAACTCTCACGAATTGGGCGAAACGGATTTGTTTGCTATCAAGAACCTCTCGGACCTCTCCAATTCTGCCACCAATTCGGGCCACCACATCCTCGGTGCGTTGATTCATAGGGAGATGATGGAGTCGAACTACAATCTGCATAAAGTTGATTTCCATGGTCGATGGGTCCGATTCTGGGTTGATCTCCGAGAACAACAAAGCTTGTTTATCGAGGATCCATGGGCATCCCCCTAGTGCTTGTTTTCGGTCCAAATGATGATTGAAACTGATGAGAAATCTATTTGTACCAAGAGTTTGGATGTCACATCCTTTGACCGGTTGAAGTAGGCGCATGACATTGGATTTAATCGTATGCCCAGAAATCTCTTTCAGCGTAACAACTCTCCCGACAAGACTAAGACTGTGGTTAGGGTTTCCAAGATGCGTTGATGCTTGAGCAATCATGATGCCTTCCTCTTCATCCGTTGTGAGACGAAACTTATTAGTCATATCCTCCACAAGGTTGTCCATTCGGAATGCGAGACCCAGATAGATGAGATGAGCAGTGGAGAGTGGAATTCGAACGCCGCCTGCCAGAGAAAGAAGAAAAATACAAATAAACCGAGAGCGGCGATTAAAGGGTGGGATTAGGGTTATGAGATGATAACGGAGTAAAAAAGGCAAGAAAAACCACTTTATAAGAATAACCCTAGAGCCGCCGTAATTATAGACAAACAAATCAGATGCAGTAAAAGATACGATCAAACCGTCTGGACGAATGGGATCCTTAGAGTATGGAGGCAAATCGGGGCGGCTTGATTCGCCGGCAGTAGATGAACTCCGATGGTCAGGGAGCCTCTCATGGTGAGAGAAAGAGCCTCTCATGGTGAGAGAACAAACCTAATTTCTTCGTCTTCTTTTGGAACATTATTGGAAGACTGTCTTCGACTTGCTCAAGATTTTAATCAGTGTTCATTTAGTTTTATCAAACGTTTAGGAAATAAGTTAGCTCATGCTATATGTTCTTCCTTCTAATTTGGCATCATTAGCCTAATAAAGTCCATTTTTCCGTCCAAAAAAAAAAATTATACTAATAATTAATATTTTATTTATGCTCTCCCTAGTCTCCGCTACATAATTTTTAATTTAATTTTTAATTTAATCTCATAAATGATACGTGGAGGAAAACAATACGCGATATTTTGCGATTGGATTTGAAATACCTCCGATTTCAAATCCACCACAATAACTTCAAAAAATTCGAGTTAAATCCAATGTAAAACGAACCCATCAAAATAAGTTCAATGAATTTATTATTACGATTTCAAATATCCTTCGATCCAAAATGTACAATCCTACTCAGCTGAAAACCCAAACAACATAATGTGCAAAAGCTGGGTTCTTTTCACAGTATCCTCCAAAACTCAGTCACTCAGTCGATTCAACGCAATCATCAGAGTGCTGGCCGAGGAGGGAATGCCGCTTCTGCCCAACGAGTTGACGTTTTCTTTTCTCCTCAAGGCGTGCTCTAGAGATGGCGGCGTCGGTGTGGATTGCGTGCGCCAAGTGCACTGCCATGTCCTGAAATCGGCTTTCGTGTCTGACAAAAACACTCATCAATTCAATTTTCGTTACTCAAAAAAAAAAAAAAAAGAAAAAAAAAAATTCGATTTTTGTTACTGCGTAATTTAGAGTTACAATGCTGGTGCTCAACGTGGCTATTTTCCTGTCGATTTTGTCATGCCATTAACCTTTTTAATTAACTTGGATGGAAAAACACACACACACACGTGCATGGCACATGATAGTGATTTCACCCCTTCTGAGTTAAAATAATATGTTTGACCTAATTACACATTCATTCATTCCCTTTTTCTTTCAGAAATTATTGGTAGTTTCAAGATATCTTATATATATATATATAGAAATTAAACAATAAAACAGATGCAATCAAGAAAAAAACAAATTCTTGATTAATTTCAAACATAATTGCTTACAGTAGAGACCGGAAATAATGGTCGAAAAAAGATATCAAGCTGCATTGAATAATTGATCCGAATCGAAAATTAAGAACTAGAACTAATTTCTCCTAACTCCATCCGAAATATTTCAACGAAATGTCATCGATATGGATATCGATATCGAAATCGAACTCTATATTATCCAAATCAATCTTCTGCATCTTGGAAAACGCATCACACGCATCACGATCTTCTTCGATTCCTTTGTCTTCTGCTAATCTTCGGCTGCTTCTTTGTCTTTTCCTTTTAGTTTTCCTTTGGAAACATCCTAGTGATTCTACAAATTGCGTAATCTTTAAACTTCAACTCAAAATTCAAACAAACCCCGGCCAATGAAAACTCTTGCATAATCCAGTGACCGTGTTCTTCTTCTTCTTCGCCGCTCCGGCCTTTAGGTTTATTCTTGTAAAAAGTGAACATCTTGGACAAGCCGATTAAATTTCCCGATGACTCATCGTAAATTTCTTTGCCACTCGTTTGTCCCTTCCAAGTACCCGATTTTGTTCTTCTGGCGATACGAGTCATACCATTAACTCGTAATAACTTGGTAAGAACGTACGTGACGTGCTTGAATTTCGTTTCGGAATGAAAATCTTCCCAATGAACGTCTTGAAGAACTTCCCATGGATCTGTTGTTTCGCCGTAAATCTCTTTTTCCGACATCAGATTCCATGGCAGTGGAATCCCCATTGATACTTTCAACAGGTAGCAATTAATCAGCTCTTCGTCCGACGGTACAAACCCTGGAGCAATCCTCATTCTTCTCTCTCGTTCTTAATTCTCTCTCTTTCTCTCTCTCTCGTTCTCTCTCTCTCTCGTTCTTCTCTCTCTTTCTGTCTCCTTTTTATCTTTCTCTCTCGTATTTGGTTTATATATATATATATATATATATATATATATATATATATATATATATATATATATATATATATATATATATATATATATATATATATATATATATATATATATATATATATATATATATATATATATATATATAGTGTTTTATGTTCATAAACATCTCCTTCAACATGGTAATGCAGCAGCAATAGGACTCTCTCTCTTAGTATTTAATATAGGGCGAATGACAAAAAGACCCATCACATGGGACTTAAATGCATTTTGGTCCACAAAAAAAACAGTCTCTTAATTAAACCCATCCCCATGTCTTTAGTCTAAAATACCCTCCATAATATAATTCTTATCAATTCCACCCATTATGCTCTAACTTCCTTAATATTACACATTGACCCCGGATTTAAACAAATATATCACATTAACCCCCAAATATTTTTTTTCAGAAACTAATTTTTTTTTGAATTTTTTTTTCCGGCCAGATTCCGGCGTTGACTTTTTTTTTTCCTTAAATTTTTTTCCGGCCGGTCAACCACTGTTGACCGTCGATCTCCGGCGTTGACTTTTTTTTTTTTTGAAAATTTTTTTTCTTAGAAAAAAAAATTTTAATCAGTAATTTAATATTACTGTCTGGGCTACTAAATTATTGTCTCAGACAGTAATATTACTGTTTGGGACAGTAATATTATGAATATTATTTTCCCGAACAATAATATTATTAATATTATTGTCTAAGATAGTTAAATTACTGTTGAAGACAGTAATTTAGCAGCCAATGCAGTAATATTAATTAAAATAATTTTTTTACGAAAAAAAAAGTCAATTAACAGTTAAATTACTGTCTCCGACAGTTAAATAACTGCTGGAGACAGTAATTTAGCAACGAATACAGTAATATTAATTAAAAATATTTTTTTAAGAATAAAAAAGTCAATTAACAGTTAAATTACTGTCTTCGATAGTTAAATAACTGTTGGAGACAGTAATTTAGCATTGAATTCAGTAATATTAATTAAAATATTTTTGAACAAAAAAATAAGTCAATTAATAGTTAAATTAATGTCTCTGACAGTTAAATAACTGCCGGAGATAGTAATTTAGCAGCCAAGACAATAATATTAATTAATTTTTTTTTTAAGAAGAAACAAAATTATTAAAAAAAAAAAAAAAAGGTCAACGTTGGAGACCCGGCGGTCAACGACAGTTGACCGGCCGGAAAAAAATTTCAGGAGATAATATATCAAGAAGTTCAGCTTGCTCGCTGGAACATTGAAGGAAATAATATTTGCTGTTGCACCCGTTTTGGAAGCCGAAATCGAAGGGTTTGGAGTGAGAATTTGGAATCAGTCTCTTCACAAAACTCGTCGAGGACCGTGAGAATTATAAGTAAGTGTTAAATTGCTTCTTATTCGAGCAAGTTTTATTGACTTTTAGAGATGAGAATTAGACGGTAGTGAGTCTGTAAAAAACAGGGCAGTTACGCGCGTAATCCTCTTACGGCGTTGTTCTTGCTATGTTGGGATAATAATTGGGACTATGTGTCTTCTGAGAATTTGTAGATTAAATTGTCAGATTTGATTGAGATCCATCTTCATCAATTGTTATACGATCTTGAATTTTGATCACTCTCTTATTGAAACCATTGATCTTACCTTTCTTGACTTGTGATTTCGTGACCAGAAATTATTGTCACTTGTTATTGGAATCCCATTGGGATTATCCTCATCAGTCACTTATTGGAATCCCAACACTACTGAATTATGATACTGATTCTTTCCAAAGTGGAATTAATTATTGGAATTCAAACTGTAAATTGAGATAGTCGGAAGCATATCCGATTTCTATATATGATTGATTCCTTTGAGGACGCCCTAAGAATAATTGATCAGTTGGGCCATTGGCTGTTCGAAAAAGACTGCTGGGCGGTATTGTGCCGACGGTGGATGGTCTCTTCGACAGTACCCATATTGGATCTACACCATTAGCATAGTTGGAGGTTAACTGTGTTGATGGATGGATCGGCATGCGCCCGGGCATGCCTATTGATCAATTAGCATGGTAGCTCCCTGATCGGTGTTATAAGGTAGTTACGGCCAAGGGAGTCACAAGGCAGGTACAGGTACATGAACAAATTGTTACCATGGGAATTTCCATGGTCCCATATTTGATACCCAAATTGTTATCGTGAGAATCTGCACGAAATTCATAATTGGTTTAGGAATTACCCGTTGAATATTGTTCTTTACCTATACATATTGATTTTATTGTTTATCCTGATCACTGATGTGCCTTATACTTTGGCCTCTTATTCCTTATCGAACGATCATTCTTTAGGTGGTCCAATTCCAACTCCAATTCCAAGTCTAACACTTCTATTGTTTTCTTGCTGTGATTATTATTAGATTCCGCTGTTTTTCCCTTGTACTCCTCACTAAGTCCATTTGGACTTACTCCTCCTTTATTTTCCATTTTATTCTTAGTAACAGGTGCATTAGTCGAAGATTATGTTGAAGACTCTTAGGAGTAAAGTTACTTCGAAGTTTTATAGTGTTTAATCTATTTGGATTCTAGCTCGATTTCAAAGGTGATTGTTGTTCAAGAGATATGTATACGAGATTGTAGTTGTGGACTTTGGTTGCCCATTTTTATTTGATTTTAGTAATGATAAATTAAGTTGAAGTCATTGTATTGATTTATTAAAAAAAAAAAAGAACAGTGTATTTCGATAGTGGCCGTCACATTACCTGACCAACCGACTTTTTTAAAACTAAAAAAAAATATGATAAATATTTAATGTTAATGAATCTAATAAAATTATGATAATTATTAATGAAAATATGTAAATAAATAAATTTTATAACAATATATCAAATAATTCAACATACAAAGTTGTACACCTTTGAGTACTATTTTATTTTATAATTCATATTTCTTATTCTTCTTTATTTATTTAATTGTTGTAAAATTTAGTAAAAAATACTCTTAAAATTAAGGTTTGGTTTTTAGTAACATAAGTTTTTCCAAAATTTCTTTTGAACAAAACTTACAAAAAAGTTGATAGAATAACATTATTATTGTAATAAAGGAAAAATTAAATGGCCGATAATACAAACAAACCGACCCAATTTTTTTTCTGGCAAAAACGGTTGTCAACTATTATCCGACCCACAACGGTCGGGCTGTTAACGTATTCAGTACTCAGAAAATCTGTTGATCCAGTCCGGTAGGTTATTGACCGATAATTACTCGACCCAACCCGATCCATGTGTAATCCTAGTGTGTTGTATTAAAAAGAAAATGATATTCTTTTATATTTGTGTGGTATTGATTTTCATTCATAATATTAATGTCATTACCTATTTATTTATGTATTGTTTATTTTTCATTTTGTTAGAATTGAAGTGAGAAAAAAACGATATTTGTTTTAGTCATCCGTGAAGTAAATTGTATTGTAGATTTTTTCATAACCTAGGGAATGAAATGCATGTAAATATTGTGAATTGTGACTGATAGACCTACTAAACATTTGTACGGACTGGCCCACGTTTTTAGCTTATAAAAAAGGGGCAATTTACTATAGGTTGCTCTATATTAATTTATGTCTATAAATTCAAGTTAAAATCCGCACATTTTAATAAATTAATTATTTTCATTGTAGCAAAAATATTCTTAATCAAATCAAAATTAAATCTCCCAAAAACCTCTCGATCAAAACAAATTCCCCCAAACATCTCTCTTCCAAATTTAACTAAAAAACAAAATTAATTCGTAAAAAAAATATACTTTATTGTACAAACTCATACTCTAAAAAAACCAGCACCGCCCATCACCGCATCTGACTCCGTGAACTGCAAATAGCAAACTGAAAATTAGAATTTGTGTCATTGAATTGCAAACAACAAACTACCTATGATTTAGACAAATGCAAACAGTAAGGTGAATAACAAAAATTCAAAATTTGCATCATGGAATTGCAAAAACAAACTACCTAGATTTCGCAAAAATGCAAACAAAAAACTAAAGACAAAAAATCAACGGAATTTGCATTATTGAATTGCAAACAACAAACTAGCAAAACAACAAATTGAAGAAAAAATCAGCATCATTGAAAACATCAACAAAAAATTATTTATGGAACACTTTGCAAAAAAAAAAATTAAAAAAATATTTGCAAAATGTATCATAAAACATGCATTGCAAATTGTAAACCGGAGGATCAAATCTCAACACCAAACACAATTCTTCAAACAACAAACGAAGGTAGCCCAACCTGCAAAGGAAAATTGCTAACAACAAACGATGGGAAGGTTCTACATACGAAACACGCAATGCAAATTTTGGCTAGGATTTTTGATTTCTAAAATTCACTTTTTTTTTCTTTGGGAGGGGCTGGGCGGGGAGGGTGATGTTTGTTCTCCGCTCTTAACTCTTTCACCAAGAAATCATTTCATAAAATAAAAAGCAACCATAGTTTTTCATCTCTATAACATTTCTTCAACCAAAAAAAAAGAGAATTCCAAAGTAAAGAAAACAAATTTGAAAAAAAAGACACGGGGGAGAGAGAGACGAGATGCATAGGGGAGAGAGAGATGATAGATTAAATATATAAAAAAATATACGTACGATTGGAGAGAGATGAATATTCATGTACATATTTCCATTTTGATTTTGGCAAAATTCGAAACACGAAAATTGTAGTCCTTTGGGGTTAGTTTTCTAATTAAACTTAAATCCGCTAGACTGGATGCCGTGACAAAGTTATGCATGAATGAGTCACATTTTGAATTTTAGATACCTCAATTCATCAAAGTTGTGGGCAGTATTCATTGATTCATGTATATCTTTCTCGTTCGACATCCAATTTTGGTGATTCACGTTGGATTAGAAAACTAACTCAGAAT